TGTTATGCCAAGGACGTTTTTGCTCATGTGAAGAGGATGATCTTTTCCGTCTATATGCGAATGCGTGTAAAGTACAAGCCTAGTTTACATTATAAATAATAGTTTAACATTCAAATACATTGCGAATATGGAAACATTTGGATTTGTGCCGAATAAGACGTGAGTAATAACCTCCAAATACATCTATCCAAACCCGCGCTCGCTCCGTCTCCTATGCACGCAGGCAAGCACTGTCACGATCTAATGCACTGTAAATGCCGGATTTTTAAAAACAAAAAGGCCTGCCTGAACGCACAAATTAAAAATCTGACATTTTCCGGAACAGGATCCAGCAGGATCAAATTAAGTACTGGTCGTGCGGTCTCCGTGTCGGGATAGGAAACAGTCAACAAAGTAAAATGATCTCAAACGCACGGCGCGCTCTCTTCATTTTATCAAATTGTTTGTTGGAGATCCCATCTATCACATTCATTTTACAATCCTGCTACTAGCATTTTATTCAGACTAAACACCCTTTAATTCGGGTGAGAAAGCGGGGTTTTAATTTTTACAAGGCATGTGACAATGCGATGCATACGACGTATTCGTAATGAGACTTATTTATAAATCTGCTGTTGTCAACAAAAAGGAAGCATTGAAGTCTCCTGCGCGTTTCTGCCAAAATAAAAGTTGAGAAAAAAGCAAGAACTCTATCAACATTCATAAATGTTAGTATTGTAATTTTACTGTTGCTCTGTAAAATAAAATAAAAAGTAAGACAATAATAATGATAATAATCATTAAAACAGCTCTGTTAATATCCTGCTACTAGCATTTTATTCAGACTAAACCCCCTTTAATTCGGGTGAGAAAGTGGGGTTTTTTTTTTGAGTGGCTTTTGCACATCCTGTCATGCCCGTGACTGCGTGCCGCTGCAATAGACGCATTTTGCAGCATTAAGGTTAATGATTAATTGATCGTTAATTTAAACTACGTTAATTTTTGAATCAAAATCAATTAATCTCTCCCGAAGTACAGAATCTAGGTGTGATAGTTGCCTCAAATTTGACAAGCAGATTAGCGCGGTCATCGGGTCCAGCCTTTTCTCTCTTCGTTCTCTATCAAAAATCAAATCCTTTCTTCTAAGGATGCACCGAATGTTCGGCAACCAAAAATAAGCGAAAAGACCGAATAAATTGTACTGAACAATGATAAAAAAGTAAGACAATAATAATGATAATAATCATTAAAACAGCTCTGTTAATACATTTATTATAACAATCACACGTTAAAATTAAGATCTATAATATTTTCTAATGTTTTAAAAGAAGTCTCTTCTCAGCAAGGCTGCTTTTAATTGTACAGTAAAAAATACATGCCTAATTCAAGAAGAGGGTCTGATGGCCAAAAAATAATATTTTACTAACTTATTCATTTTAAGCTAAATTGTGCTTTGTTGGTATAGTGTCTGCTAGAATGTTAAAAATGTTCAGTGTTAAATATTTTTAAATTGTTGTTTTGTAATAGATTTTTTTTCTTTGAAAAGCAAGACAAAACAGTAAAAAGCACATTTTGGCTATTTAATTTATGCAATGGCGAAGAAAAAAAAAAAACCACGAAAAACCATATTCGATATTCGGCCTACGGCCCAGTGTTTCATTTTGTTCGGGTTCGGCTTCGGCCAAGAACTTTCATTTCGGTGCATCCCTAACTAAGCGCTCCTTGGAGATTGCTATCCATGATCTTATTACCTCTCACCTGGATTATTGCAATTCCCTTTATTTTGGTATATCTAAGTCCCAAATGGCATGCTTGCGGGTCATTCAAAATGCTGCGGCGAGATTCCTGAAGGGAAAGAGGAAATTTGATCACGCTACCCCCCTTCTGAGATCCCTTCACTGGCTTCCGATTAACTTTAGAATTGAGTTTTATTTATTAGAACTTTTATTACTGGTAT